TCGATACGGGATCCGTAAACCCTTCGCCATTAGTGTGCCTTACAAAAAAAACCTTACACATAAGGGTAAATCAACCTCCCCAAAAAAAAACCCTAGGCCATCAGTGTAACCATCAAAAACCACCCTGATTATCAGGGTATCAATGTGATTTACACTGATAAAATTTGCCCTGTTCGGGACTAGCCCGAGCCTCGCTGCCAGTATATGGTAGCACTAGCTAGCTCGCACGCACCGCGTTACCGTTTGCATGTTTCGCGTATAAATGTTCGCTCATGCCTTCGCTCACATCTTTGTACTCGTTTGATACCTTAGTGCAATACTCGTTTGATTCATTGCACCCGTAACAAATGTTCATATAGTACATAATTCTTCAGGTTGAATCATAACTTTCTTTTACGAGTGCAATTGAGTAAATGAACGGGAATTGCACTATCGAAGCAAGAATACAATGAGCAAAGGCATGAGCAAAGAATATATAGCGAAACTACAGTGATAACGGTAATGGACTGTGGTTGTCGCGTGATGGTCCTGGGACTGAGGTTTGGGAAAGTGTCGAAGCGGAGGCCCGGAGCGCGGGTTACCAGCCGAGCCGTGAGGTTGGGGTGCGATGTGCGAAAATGGCGGGCTGATTGTCGATGCGAGGGTCACGAGTGGTAACGGTGCTGACTGTGGTGCTATAGTGATGTACGCGTTGAGCAGGGATGCGAAGTAAGGAAAAATGATTTTCCTTACACTTTCGCAAATTTTTACACTGCATGTACGGCAGGGCCTCAGATATCAGGAAAAAATTCCTGAAATTCCTGATTTTGGCACCCCATTTTTAACCTACCCTGAAATCTCCGTGTTGAGATTTTTTTGGGACTGATTTTCCAGGCTTTTGTTTTAGGCCACACTGATATTTCCGTTTTTTTTTTTTTATGTTACACTGATGCCACGACGTTGTAACGAACCGAACACTGAAAGCGAATCTTATCTGCATCGTGTGGATGCGACCCCATTTACAGGGAATCTCGGATTCCCGCCGAGTTTCGCACCGCGTGGCGAGTCCAACCTGGGATTTTTTACCACAGGTGCACGTTGGGAGGTGTATTTTTGGCGCGGCGCCTCACACCATTGGGCCGTGTCACTGCAGCATCAACTCTTGGCCAATCCGAACGTGGGCTGGCTATTGTGCTGGAGGGCTGGCAAGGTTCATGGCCCATTGCCATCACCTGCGACGCGTTAGGAACGGGCAGTGCTGGCAAGCACTCTGCCATCCTTCCAACCGTCAAGGCTTCCACGCCGCCCAGCCCATGCACCGTTCCCGCCATCAACCCCTTTCTTCTCCAACCTTTGCATCCGTAGCTAGGTTTTCCCCTTTCTTCCTAGTGTACCAAGAGTCAGCCAGCCGTGGCTTCGTCTTTGCCTGTGCAGTCCCCCGCATGTGCTCTGCACGCGTTACTAGCTTAGAGGGGAGGGCGTCCCCGCTGCTTACCATGTTAGAACCGCCTGACGGCACGGAAACAAGCGGCGAACAGGGTGATGATTCGCACCGCCAACCGCAAGTAGTCCGTTCTGATGCAGTTACCGGCCTTGATTTATTATTTTCTAGCATAGCGGAAGTAGCCCACACCGAGAAGCTACGAGAACAAGATCCGCCCGACAAAATCCCGTTTGAGCACATCGATCCGGAGGACTGGTGTGCATCCCCGACAGCGCCAGTCACGGAGTAGGACAGCTCGCCGCCTCCAGCTGGAAAACCGACTCCCGAAGCCGTTAGCAAAAAATCAGGCCGCTATCTGCAGTCAACGATACCCTGGTTGACAAAGGGTGTTGACGACGGTGCAACCACGCCTCCGCCATCCGACCAACGATCGTCTCCCGTGATTGCCGGCCCGCAGGAGGCGCCTTCGGTTCCTGGTCCCTCTAAGCAATTTTCCCGTGATTCGATTTACGCCGAGTCTCTGTATAAGTACAAAACCGAGTGGCTAGACAGGTTTTCATGGCTCATCCTCTTGCAGCAAAGTGATGGTCTCCCAGCATTCAAATGCTCTATCTGTACCGAGCATGCAGGTTACGCAGGAAAGTGCGGGAGGGGTGGAAGGGGTGCCTCGGACGTTCAGACTCAAGCTTTCAAGCGACACGCAGCTACCACGAAGCACAAGGAGGCGGTCAAGCACCAGGAGAAGCTTCTTGCTGAAGCTGGCCGGCAGCCACGGATCAACGCTGACAACCTCGCTCGCGACAGCGAGAGGGAGCGCGTCATCGAGCTGTGCGACTCCCTGCTCTTCGTTACCAAGCAAGATGCACCCATTGAGTTATGGGTGCAACTTGTTCGGTATCTCGGCGCGAAGAAGGTTCCGGGATTCCCTGCGAAAGGTTACGGAACCTACTACACAACATAAGGTACTAGGTGTTACCTTGTGCTTGTGTTGTTGCTCTTATATTCTCTATTTTGTAATGTCTAACATTGACTAACCTTGCGCGCAGGTACGGATTTGGGCAACTAACACAAGCGATTGCCACGTGGTTGCACACAACTCAACTCCAGCACCTCCTTACAAGCCCTTTCATCGGTGTTACCTGTGACGAGAGCACGGACAGGTGCAGGGGAAAGCACTTGATCATTTTCGCGACGTTCATCCGTGAGAATCGCGTCGTCACTAAATTCCTTGCGTTGCTGACCGTGGAGAAGTGCGACGCCGCCTCTCTCCTCGCAGTGTTTCTGTCCCACCTGCAGGCCCTCGGCATCGAGCTTGGCAAGATCGCTGGAATGAGCACCGATGGTGCGAGTGTGATGATGGGACACAAGAATGGTCTTGTCGCTCGTCTGCGCATCCGCATACCGCATCTCGTCTCAAGCCACTGCGTTGCTCACAGGTACTTTCCACATAAGTACCCGCGGCACCCTTGCCTTTCCGAATCTCGTTCATACTTACCCTAAACCCCACCGTGGCATGTTTGTCTTGTGTTGTGCCTGCAGGGAGGCCCTCGCGGCAAAAGATGCAGCGGAGGCAATCCCCGAGTTTGACATGGTGGACGGGCTGATCCGTCAAGTGGCCGAGTATCTCGGCCGTTCCAGCCCCTGGCACCAACGATTTCTGGAGCTCCAGGAACTCTTCACTGCTACGAACCTGGAGCTTCAAGGCATCCATCAAGTCCGCTGGCTGAGCAGGGGTGATGCCGTTTTGCGAACGGTGACGGTCTTCCCAGCGCTACTCGTCATGATGTACGAGTGGGACGAAACTCTGTACGAGCTCGCCACCAGCTACATGTTCTATTTCTTGCTGTTCTTCCTTGCAGACGTGCTCGAGCAGCTGAACATCTTGAACAAGTCGTTCCAGCAGCGTGAGGTGAGCCACAAGTCCTCTCAAACTTTGCAGCAACTCTCTTGATTTCTACTTATAGTTTTCGTGTCAATTCGTCTCTTTAATGTGCCGTGTGTCTATGTCAATGCGTTGACATTGTTCCAGCTTAAGCAGAACATGCATTGATTGAACTATCACCCATCTGGCTGTCTTTCCTTTTGACGTTCTGTGCATACTCTGTCCCCCTCTCATAGCTCGACATCGCAGGTGTCCATGCGCAGATCAGGAGAACCTTGTCTCACCTGGAGACCCGCTACGTCGACTGCGGTGACGATTTTGGAGGCGGGTTGAGCGCGCGCCTGTCCCCGTTCATCAAGAAGTACGGGCCTGACAGTGACAAGCCCGAGGTGACGGTGCAGGGTGTGGACTCTGACGGTCGCCCGACAACACTCAAGTTCCATCTGCATGAGAAGCCAAGCGAGGACTACCCAACACTTGGAACACACGACAACTGCGTCGACCTCTGTACCACTTTTGCCGAGACGCTCGTCAAAAACCTCAGCAACAGGTTTGCAGACTTGGACTCCCTTGTGGGAGTGAGGCTCTTCATGCCAGACGAGTACAGCACGGCGGGGAGAACGGAGCGCCACAAACAGTGTCTCGAGTGGCTCATGTCACTCGTCTCGCTGTTCAGGGCATAGGAGAGTGATCACATCCTTCCAGGTACACGCTTACTCTAAACCCGTGTTGTCCATTATGTCTCTTTGATAATATGGTTGAGCAGTGCTTTCTGTACACGGTTATACCATGCCACGCCATCCAAGCTAACTGACAACCCCCCTTCTGTGTTGTGTGGCAGGGATCGACAAACGGCGGGCGATCAAAGAACTGCGTGCCTTCTGCCCCATCCTCGCAGGTGCCCCGAAGAACGAGCGAAGCTTCCATGCCGGTCTAACAGCGATGCTGAAGACAAGTGACTGGACGACTAGCTACCCCAACCTCGTGCATCTTCGGGTGGCAGTTGCAGTGCTTCCGCTGAGCACAGTGGAATGTGAGCGCGGGTTTTCCCGCCAGAATATCATCAAGTCATGGCAGCGTGGGAGCCTCAAAGACGCACGGCTTGAAGATCTCGTCACAATGTCGCTCCTCGACTACGAGCCCGACTACAACGAACTGGTGAACATCTGGCGCAGCTACAAGAAGCGCCGGCCATTTGGAAATGTGGCAGCAGCAGCAGCAGCAGCAGCAACACCTGCAGCAAGAGAGGGGGAGGGAAGTGGCAGGGGAAAGGAGGCACTTGAGTGGGAAGAACCCAAGGTGCAGGGGAGTGATGATGAAGACTTTGATTCCGATGCTCAAGGACGCATGACCCCTATTAGATAAGAGCAGCTAGTCTGTTCTAGGTAGGAAGGAAGCTTCTGTCTTCCTGTGCTTAAAACCAGGACGTTTAATAGCTACAGCTTTTTTAATTTTGAAACCCTGATGGATCAGACTCTAAATTAGGACAACACTGTCATTTCAGCCTTTTTTTCTTGGTAACACTGTCAATCAGTGTTTACACACAAGGGGACACTGATGGGTATACGACCCTTAAAGTGAATCTGAGGGCCTGATGTACGGTACCCTGAACTACTAAAGGTTTGGTTAGTCTCCTGCAATGTCAGTTCAGCCTAGCCTTCAGAGCACGAGCTGTGCCCATGACTAACCGTAAGACTATGCGCCTGGCCAAGAAAGAAGTGCAAACCATATAACAAACAGAAGAGCATGCTACGTTACATACTATATTCTAATGGATGAGACCACCTATTGAAAGCTTTCACATTTCCGCACAGGTGGTGTCACTTCTGTAATTTGACCCGTTGATGCTCCGCAATCTGGTAAGCTACCATGGCCCTCACGCGTTGGCGAAATCCAGGATACGGTTCAAACCCAAACCGCTCCAGCGCCTGCCACACGCACACAAAAAGGAATTTAAATATAAAAGCCACAGAAAGGCGACCCAGACACTGACGGTTAATGCAGGAGATGCTGACCTCAAGGAGTACGAAGAGTGGCGCCATGAGCAATGCCTGAGCCAAATTGTCCACTAGTGCAGGCGCTCTTTTCTGATAACGTAGAGGGAAAGGATAGGTGGGAGACGAGTGGATTAAATCGTAGAAAGACGATTGACACATGTTGCTTCATGTGATAGCGATCATGGGTTGTTGCAAGCACGCCCAAGATCAGAAGATGGTGCAGAGGGGGCCATGCACAAACAGACCCAGCGAACATGCAATGCAATTATGAGAACATGTGCACGGGCATGCAAAGGGGACTGACCTCGAAGACGCCATGGCCCAGAAACTGCCCGCCCCACGACACCACCTGTGCGATGACCGCGAGCTGATGGCGGAGGGGCGCGGCAGGGAGAACAGAGGAGAGAAGCAGTGGGAAGAGGGAAGAGGAGAGGGGCAGAGGAGAGGGGCAGAGGAGAGGGGCAGAGGAGAGGGGCAGAGGAGAGGAGCAGAGGAGAGGGGCAGAGGAGAGGGGCAGAGGAGAGGGGCAGAGGAGAGGGGCAGAGGAGAGGGGCAGAGGAGAGAGGCAGAGGAGAGAGGCAGGGAGGGAGGGAGGGAGGGAAGCAGGGAGGATTGGCAGGGGGAGAGGACAGGGGAGAGAGGCAGGGTGATAGAACAGGGAGAGGGAGGAAAGGGGAGGTGGTTAACCCCTCAATCTCACAGCATTATCTCCGTCAAATTACTCAAGCAAACCTCTCTATCCTCCCCCCTCACTTGAACGTCGTGCTCCTCAACTCTTCCTCCTCCCACACAATTCCCCTAGCCCAACCCCCTCTGGCAGCCCCGCGTGCACCTTCCACGCGCGCCCGGCGCCCACGGCTTTGATGAAGGCGCGCGAGCCCACGAAGCACGCGCCCACCATCAGCGCCGCGAGCGACCCCGCGCGCCGTTCCATCCCAATGTAGAACGCCGCGTACACCACCGACACCAGCGCCGCGCAGTTAAACACCAGCCCGCTGCCCGGAAGCGCGAGAGGAAGCGGTACAGGCACCTGCGGCACGAGCCTAGCTAAAGCGGCGAGGAGTGGGTGGCTGAGGGAGATTAAAGACGGCGTGTACTGGAGGAGGACGAGCGCGGAGAAGAGGATGGGCCACACAAAGACCATGTGGATCGCCTTGTTCACCGGGTCGTCGTGGTACGAGCCGTAAAACGCGTAGTGCTTCTCAAGATTGAACAGCGAGCGGAATGAGGAGAGAGCGGATGGGCTTGTAACGGGGATGGGGGCGGTCTTTTTGGGGTCAGGGGAGATGGGCACGTAAACGTCGTCCGCGGAAGGGTCTCTATCGCCGCCGGTGAGGTTGGCGGACGCGGAAGCCGGCGTGGCGGGGCGGAACGAATGGGCTGCGCGGAAAGGCAGGCAGGGAGGGAAAGGAAAGAAAAACAAGGCAAATTTGCATTGCTCACAGTTTCATGCCGAGATGTCCTCTACGTGCCAACGTCGCATATGGAAACCTTGCTTGAATGATTAACGAAAAGTTCTCTCGAAAATGCATGCGAGAATTAACAGTCGAAGGCGAATTAACAGTCCCGCGTTACACAGCGAGAGCAGGTAGCGCGCGGACCTTGCGGGTGGGTGTAGGGAGACGGAAAGATTTTGGCGAGAACGAAGCTTCGTACAACCGCGTAGTTCCTGGCAGGCGAGCCGGCCTGGCAAGCCCAGGAGTGCGAGGCAGCCGCGCCTTCCTTTAACGCGTCTCCTTTTAGCGCGTCTGCTCTCAGCGCGCCGGCAGCTCTGCACGTGCAAACGAACGACGGCGCCGCGGTTGACGCCATTCTTGCACGCAGACGCGGGGCTCGCAACAAGAGCTCGTGGTGGGAAGGAACGACGCTGGTGAGCGCGCAGCCCGAAGCAACAGCTAGTGGCGCCCACGGAGAGGGAGCAGAAAGGAGCGCGGAGCGGGGAGCGAAGAGGCAGCAGCACCAACCAACGATGATTCCGTCCCTCACCTTGCAGAAACCCAAAATTGTTCGTTGGTGCAATATATGCTACTGTAGGGAGCAGCTCAGTAGGGAGGGGCACCACGGCTGCTGCTCACGTCAGTGGTGTGTATGTGAGTCGATGTCGATGGGGCATGGAATGGAATTGGCGTGCGTGCAACGGGCATGTGAGTGTGCAGGAGAGCTGGAGGAGCATCTTCACCTGGTAGTCCTCCGCTTTGTGTGTGTGGGTGGACATGGTCTCGCGACGCGATGTGGGGGCTGGGCTTCTTTCTCCGCCAATTGCACTATCCGCATTTCCGCCCGCGGGCTGTCCGTTCCGCTTCCTACATTGATGGCTCATGGCGCAGACGGCATAGGTGGGGTGGGGGGAACTAGAAAGATGAGCACCTGGCATGTGGGGCAAACTGCTGTACTCGTTTGTGGGAGCAGGCGAAACAGTTCAGGTCGCATGCGGCTGAAAGCGCTTCGTTGTGATTGGGCAGATGTTGTCAAACGACTGCTTCACGACGTGTCTGGGGAAGGCAGCGACTGAACATCGGGGCCGAACGACGGGAGGACAACACCCTTTTGCGTCAGCAACCTTTAGCAAAAGCACCCTGCTCACAGTCAACTGTGACTGTCCACAAAATCCGTTCTCTTTACTGCCAATACTAATACGGCGGAAGTTTTTTAGTGTAGCTATTTAGCGTGCTATTCTTGTACTACCTTGTACAGCACAAAACCTCCTGAACCTCACCTCACACGTGTCCATCCATACACCACCAACCTGTAACCCCCATCAGTTACTTTCCGCCAATCCCTCGCCACACACATCTCCACCTGTCTGCTCCGTTGCTGTTACACTACACTACCCCTATCCTGCCCTGCGATTTCTGCAGCCCTCCCTGATTTCTCATGCAGCGGCAGCAGGGGTTTGCCCCGTCAATCAAGTTGTGGGCCGTGAGTTGTGGAAGTTTGTAACCCTCTATCGCCTTTCCCTGGCTCGTGTGGGCATAACACTTTCTCTTATGCGCGCTTGTGTTACAAGTTCTGCTGCTTACCTTGACCTGCATGTCTTCGCAGCGCCTTTCTATTCGAATTTCAAGTTTCAACTCAATGTTTCGAAATCAGCTCATAGGTTCAGTTTTGACGCGCTTCCTGCTTCTCACTTGCAGCTGTTTTCCTCCTGAGACCTTCACGCACTCAGTCTTCGTGTTTCCACTTCTAGTTGTCCGATTCTTTTAGCCTAGCAGCTTGAGCACAGCGTTTCTTCTCTTTCCTTGGTTCACCATGGAAGTCCAACACACATTGTCAACGCATGACCGGCTCACCGTCACAGGATCACCAGCAGTAACAGCAGCTCCACCCATCGGAGCGGCATCCCTGACGGCGCAAGCAGCAACGGCAGATGTCACGTCGGCACCTGATGTTCCCGCATTAACAGTCGCATCATTCGCTGAAACCGCAGCGCGAACGGGCGAGGGTGGCGCGGATCTAGCGATTTTCACAACAGGAGACGCGGAAGCAGATGGAGCGGGAAACGACGCGAGCGGCGAGCATCCTTCGATGTCGCATCCCTCCTTGGAGCACCCGTATGCGGAATTCGCCGCCAATGGCTCCTTCCCTCCCCACGCGTCGACCGCGCCGACGCGGCTCGTAAACATGCCGTCTTACGTCAACTTCATCCGATCGGATCTCGCGCCGCGGCCGGACACGCAGCGTGCGCCCGTGATTCGTGTGCATCCGACGGTGTTCGAGGCGCTGCACGCGCTGCGCGAAGGGCTGCAGCTGTGCCGGCCCGCGAACCGCGTGAGCATCAGCGACGTGATCGACCACTTCCTGTGCTGCTCCGCGGAAGAGGTCGACCGGCTGCTGGAGCGCCGCGTTAAACACCGCCGCCAGATGCTAGCTCTGGTGCAGCAGCAGCAGCAGCAGCAAGGGCAGGGACAGACGCAGGGACAGGGACAGGCGCAGGGCGAGGAGCAAGGGCAGGGTCTAGGACAGGGGCCGGGGCAGGATGGCCAGCTGGCAGTTGCCCAGCAAATGGATGGCGGACACGTGGCAGTGCAGCAGGAGCAGGCGGGGCAGGGTGGGGAGGGTGAGGCATTTCCTCCCAGGAGTGTTGCTGCCGGTTACCCGTATTCGTACTCGGCACTCATTCCCCCCATGGTGCAACCCGAGCAGCAGAGGCGCAAGCGGCTGCGGCGGCACGTGCAGCCCCCCGCGACTCAGAGGAAGCTGCTGCAGCTGCTGCAGCAGCAGGAGCAGTTCCACCCCGGCCCTGCCCCACTGCAGCAGCCCTTGCCTTTCCTACACCAGGTGCAGGAGCCGCAGCAGGTGCATGATCAGCAGCAACAGCAGCAGCAACCCCAGCAACAAATGCAGCAGCAACCGCAACAGCAACAGCATCAAGAGCCGCAGCAACAGCAGATGCAAGGGGATCAGCAGCAGCAGCAGCAGGGTGCGGGTCACAGGGCATTGCAGTGGGGCTCTGGACCCATACCCAACTATGCGTCTCAGTAGCAACCCCATGCCAAATACACTTGTTTTCACTCCATGAGCACCCACCAGTTGCTGATGCAGCCTCTAGTGTCCCTTAGAGCACCATCGAGTATGCCTCTATTTGTAGCCACTGTTAGCACCTGACGCGGTGATTATTCTCTGTAACACTTCCACATGTTGCAGTTGTTTGTACCGGTATGCCTGCAATGCCACGGAGCTTATACGGCCATCTTGTTTTGTCCCTTGTACCTCAAGAAATTAGAATTGAAATCCTTTCATGAGGGCCTGAAACAAAAAAGATCCATTAAATATCAACAGAATTTGCAAAACACTTACTGTACAAACTCGCAACAACAAATACCAATACAGGAACAGGGCTGCATCATTCTAGCTGCCATGCTGTGCTAAGCCAGGCAGCGATACACCTGCCAGTTAGCTGAGGTTAGTTGAGGTTAGCTGGGGTTGATAACTTAGCACCTTAACTGGAGCCACGGATGGGAGAGGAAGCAGCACCTTGACCAGCACTGCCTCTGCATCTGTCCCATGTGTTCCCTTCTCGTCTGGCTATTCCATGAGCCCACTGCACTCCTGCACGCTCCATGCAAGCATGCCTCTGCTGTCCCTGCACTCCCTCTCTCCTCACTCTTCACAGAAACTCAACACACACTCCACACAGCGCACTCTCACCCGCCTCACATCTCATCGTCACTCTGCCATGCATCCCTCTTCTGCCAGCCCTTGCCCGAGCCACCTCCGCTTCTTGATCCCTTTCCTCCTCCCCCTCCCCCCCCCCTGCTCCCCCTGTTCCTCCTGCTCTCCCTCTCCCACTTGCACCCTGTGCAACCAATGGCTGCCTGCCAGGTGGAAGCGGCAGAGCTGTCTGAACCTCCTCGTCATCATCATCGTCATCATCATAATCATCATCATCACCACCACCATCATCATCATCCTCGTCGTCATCATACTCATCATCATCATCCTCCTCCCCCTCATCATCCTCCTCATCCTCCTCGTCTGTGTCTTCCACTCGTCCCTTCCCTTTCTCATACTCCCTCCCTCCTTTCCCCATCAGCCTCCCTTCTTCCATCGACTCAAACTCCTCCTCATCCTCCTCCTCATCCTCATCCACCCCTCCTGCCCTCCCTCCCCGCAGCGACATCTCTTCAGAAACGTCGTACACCTGCTGCTGGCCTGGCGAGCACCCCCCAAACGAAGACCCCTTCGAGCCTCGCGAACCTTTCGATCCTCCCGAGCCTGGCAGCAAGTTTCGGGTGCGCTTCGGGTCCACCGAGGCTGATAACGAGCCAGGCGGAGGGTCGGGCTCCGTGAGATGCGGCTCGGAGATGGCGAACTCTGCTTCGGCAGCCTTGGCTCGGAAGTTGGTTCGGGAGGGGGGGATCTCGGAGCAGAGGGCTTCGCCAACGTTGTTGAAGCAGCCGCGGCTGTAGGGGTTGGGCTTCTTGTCGTAGCGCCACCGGAAGTTCTCATACGTCGTCTGATGGCATTGTTTCAGGGGGAGAGGGGGTGGGAGTGGAGGGGAGGGGAGGGGAGGGGAGAGGAGGGGAGTTGAGGGTAGGGGAGGGGAAAGGGGAGAGGGTGATGGGGTGGATGGGGGAGAGAAGCACAGGAAGGAGGAACGGAAGGGCGTGGCACTGAAATGCAGAGCATGCAGGGAGGGAGATGCAAGTGGCACTGGTGCGGGCAAGTAAGGCGCTGGTATCCGTGCCCAGCTAACCCACCTGGTTGCGGCACATGAGGTAGATGTGAAAGCCTGACAGCCCCCCCACGAACCACACAGCGAGGAAGGTGAACCCCATGAGCACCACAGCCACGGGCGCCTGCCCCATGGCCTGCCACACCGTGCGCGTGCCGACTGCCGGGTCGTGTGCGTTGAACATGAGCTGGTTGATGAGGTACGCGGAGAAGGCGAACACGAATATGCAGAGCGCTGTTGTGGACAGGATGAAGGTGAAGAAGAACCGGTAGTTGCGCTGAAGCGGGAACAGGGGAGGGGGAAATGTCAAGGAGAGGGGGTGTGAAGAAGAGGGGAGAATAAGTGGGGAGGGGGGAGGAGGGAATCGGGAGGGTAAATTGTGCAGAAAGGAAGGAGATGAGGCGCAGAGGGGAGGGGCGATGCAGAAGTGAAGCAGGAGCTGTCACAACATGGAAAACTCAGCCCCCTCACCCACCCATTCAATACACTCGCCTCACCAGTCCTATGCACCCTCCTCACCCATCCAATCGCCTCACCCGCCCAATGCACTGGCCCACCCAGGGGCAGTGGTGGTCGAAGCGGTCAATGCAGTTGTCGCAGATGGAGCAGTGCGAGCAGCGCGGCGGGCGGTACAGCAGGCACGAGTCGCACCACTTCACCTTCACCGCCACGCCGTTCACCACCACCTCGCGGCTGCGCGGAACCTTCCCCGCCGGCGCAGTGGGGTTGCGCGGGACGATGCCCGGGTCGCGACAGGCTGTGAAGAGCAGAATGTACAGGTCCTGATGTTGGGGAGGAGAAGGGAAGAGCAGGGAGGGGAAAGAACTTGAAGTGCGCCAGAAGGCGGGATAGGGTGTAGACGGAAGGAAGGCATGAGCCATGGGATGAGCGATGCACGCATGTTACGACCGACGCGTATAGCATGACGCGAGCGACGCGTATCGCATGACGCCTGCGACGCGTATAGCCTCGTGAGCGACGCGACGCACCCATGTGATGAGCGAGATGGCGGCGGGGAGCACGGCGATGCCGCCCCACATCTTGTCGATGAGCTGGTACGCGACGAAGACGCAGAAGAGCGCGCCGGGGATGGTGATGAGGCAGATGGACACCAACAGTGAGCGCACGTCTGGCCCGAACACGCACAGCCCCCACAGGAAGAACTTCTGGTGTGGTTGATAGGGCGGGGATGGTGTGGTGTGAGGGAAGGAGGGACGCGGGAGGAGCGATGGACGAGAGTGGAGAGAGTGAAAGGGATGTGGAGAGATAAGAGGGGATTGTCACGGAACAGACGAGAGGGTGCGGCCATGAAAGACGGTTGGCGTCGAATAAACGAGATCATGCGAGTGAAGTTCAGTGAGACGAAAGAGAGCAGCGAAACCGTATGCAGTGAAATCGATCTAATGTTCGAGATCGGGAAAAAGGGATGAACTAGAGAGGCGGATAGAAGTGCGAGAAGGCTCACATTGTCTCCTTTCCATTTCTGATACACCCGAGCCATGTGGAACCGCCGCGACGTCGGTAGTTGATACTAAACGCGATATGGTCACTCATCGCGCATCAGGCATAGCCGTCTGATTCTAAGAGAGGGCATATGGAGTCCTGGGAGGCGTCGCAAGGGCGGCATGAGCGACCAATTCAGATAAAGCTCTGTCTTTTAAATTACTCTGCTTGCTACTAACTTCACGGAAAACATGAGAAGGAAGCTACAATCGTTGATTCAGCGTCAGATTGTTGAAGGAAAAGTGGCCAGTCAGTCTAGAATATAGTGACGTGTTAGCAGCTGTGTGCAATTGCAGATGATCGAACATAAATCGATTGATGGTTAGCGAACAGCTGTAGGTAGACACGAAGAGTAATTGGCGATCGATCAAACTATCAGCAGCCTATTGCAGTTAGAAGCCCAGTACAAATGTCTGGACACCACTACAACTACTTCGCACTCGAAGTAAAGCCTAATGCCTTGTGGAAAAGCGACTTGAACACGTGAAGCACCGAACAACACAAAACAGGACGCCAAAATGTAGAACGAAGCCCGAGGCTAGTCCCTAGAAATTGCCCTCTCGTAAGTCGAGGAGATGGAGTTGGAGCGCATACCACCGCTTTATATCACACAGAAAAGCGCCGAACCAGTCTGTTGCGTCGCGAAGTTCCAGTTTCACGCCATCTGAACATTACCAATCCACCAAACCTGCCCTCCCGAGTCAGTTTCTCTGAGCACGCTGCCATGCTAGTGAAGTCACCTGGCCACTACTAGACCACAGACGACGGCGCCAAGCCTACAACGAGCCGACCACGCTGCGTCGACAAGTCAGTACCCATACAGAATCTGGGAGCACGACATTGACGAGGAAAAAGTGCTGGGGAATTGACGGACGGGAGCACAGGTTTGGAGGTTTGGTCTGTTGGCTTCAGCGGAGGTTTGGATGCACAAACCTGCACATCGTGTGAGTTGTGTGCTTTGCATGTACTGTAGCTGTACAATTTTCACACTAAAAGACGACGTTTTGCTGCTTTGAAATACCCCATCGAAACTAATGGACTAAGCCAAGAGACGCTAAGTTTGAGAAGGAATGCTTTTCAACACAGCGGTCGAAAGTGCCCCCACTGGCTACTTCCAATCGGTACTTGTTCCAAGAATCTTTCAGGCCCAAGACTCGTATACGTTTCTTATGCAGGAAAAATTCCTGCGAAAAGCCTCAGGTGCCTGAAGCGGCCCAAATTCCCTGACAGCATTTGCTGAGGGACTCAAGCCTTCACGGCTGAAGCTAGGGTTTGGTGGTCACTAAAACTGGCTATCGGATCCATGCCAGTGCGTGTCGCCCAACCTCATTGCTTAGGCGGCGAGAAAGCGGCTTTCAAATCTCTAGTTTTAGCAATTAGCGGCTCGACCGCTGGTGGTCCCGATTTTCAGCGAATCAGATGGCGTTTCTTCCTGTTTTTGTTCCCAACGGTTCTGGCTCACTTTGGCGCCAGTGACGCTCGTTGTTTTGTTTCCGAATATCCGCAACGATTCAGGCCTGTTGATCTACTTTTGCGGCTCGGTTCTTACCCCATTCTCTCCCCAGCCAGCGTCAACCATCCCTCCCTACGTTCGCCCATCACCTTCCCATTTTCCAACCGGCATGCCTCATTCTCGCCTCCGCATATTCGCCCTCTCGTCCGCATTCACTATCCATGTTCCAATTTCAGCCGTGAGCCCACATTGAGACACCAGTTTCCGTTATTCAGTCTCCACATTCAGGCTTCGGACCGTTCAGTATTAGAACAACTTGGAACAGCTCGGAGCACTCTAGAGCACTGCTGATTTTTTCAACGTGACGCGACCGCGAGGAGTCGTATGGCCGCCCAGCCGATTGCTTCGACGCAGCGAATGTTCGCGAGACAAAGAACATATCCGTAAGTGTTCCTATTTCTATTTCATTTTCGAAACCATTCAAGTCTCTATTGTCGCAATTCGTTCTTTTTACGCATCTGGATAAAAATATGACTTTTTGTTTGATCCGTGCAGGTCGGAACAGAACACGAAGAACGACTGAGATCGACATTGGCTCTGAAGACTGAAATTTTCCCTAAACTCAAATGCTGGATCTGCACCGACGAGCTTCAAAGGTAAGAGGCGGGATCTTCCCGTTCAATTTTGCGTTTCGTTTTGTTTCTGTTCTATGGACGCTCGCTAACGCAGTTTCTTCCATGTCATCGCGTGCAGGTTCTCCTAACATTCGCGCATCAGACAAGCCAATATCGGCGCCGAATCGATATCCTTCGTCTTGTTATCAACGCGCGTGTGCTTCGAGTCAAGCGCGTCGGCGTTAAGTCAACGCGCGTCTCTCCGCTTTCGCTCAACGCGCCCGCTGCCGCCTCCAGTCAACGCCTGCTGCCACAAGTCAACTCTTCTGCTGTTGACTCGAGTCAACGTCCTGCAGCCTTCATCGAGATGAGTATTCGTATACCCTTTCTTTTCGTATGATTTCGTATCATTATTTTCGCTATAGCTGCCTGTAGCACACCCGAGTCCCGCCCTTTTTCTTTTGAGGTTCAGACTATAAGGTATCCCCCTTGGTACGGGCGAATTTTTCTACCCCTGGTACGGTACGGTACGGTAAAGGTCCCCGTTTCCCCTTGGGTGTGCTGCAGCAGCTGTATCTTCCCTCCCAAATCCGCTACACGAAGATCCGTTTCTTACATGTGACTGGACTGCGCATCTCCTACACGTTACATCAACCCCCCCTTCCTCCTCCCCCCTCTCCTCCGCGCCTCTCCCTCCTCCGCGCCTCTCCCTCCTCCCTGTCCATCAGGTCACCTGTTGCCCGCAAGGACCTTCGCTGCGAATTTCGCGTTTGAGGCGCATCACGGAGAGCGGTTGTGGGGACGCGGGTCGAAGGCAGCAGCGGGTCGTCGTGGGCTGCACGGCGCGTCTCACACCGCATCGCGGGCCAACAGATGAGTATCGCTCGGCCGTTTCTGCTTTCCGTTTCACTGCCTCGCCTCTCTAGCTGCCTGTAGCACACCCAAGTTTCTCCCCCCTCTTTTTTTTTGGTAAAGGTTCGGACTGTCAGGTATTCCCCTTGGTAGGTATTCCCCCTGGTATGGTAAGGTAAAGGTCCCCCACTCCGCTTGGGTGTTCTACAGCAGCTATACCTTCCTCTTATGTTCGGTTCTGGGCTAAACTTCATGTGACTCGAAGGAAGTCTTGCCGCTTGTTCTTGATCGTAGTCCTTCCCTCCCTCCCCCCCCTTCGCTCCGCCACCCCCTTTCCCCGCGTTGACTCTCAGTGCTCTGCGCGCGTCAACGATCATCGCTTTGTCTGGCTAACGTGGGTCGCGGAGGCAGCTGCGGAGGCAGCAGCGGAGGCAGCAGCGGGACTTGATGGGCTCCATCGCAATGATTCTTGGAAGAAACAGATGAGTATCGTTTCACCACTCACCCCGCCTTCGCCTTTGTCCGTTTCGCCACATGTCGTTTCGATTGCTTCCTGATTTGCTGCCTCTTCGTTTTAGCCGTCTGTAGCACACCCAAGTCCCTCCTTTTAAGGTTCAGGTTATGAGGAAAGTAACCCCCTTGGTACGGTAAGGTGAAGGTCCCCCGCTCCACTTGGGTGTGCTACGGAGGCTACTCCTTTCCTTTTCTATTCGCATCTGGACGAGACTGCACATGGCTCGACGGCGCTCCTGTCGCTGCCTCTCGTTTCTAATCCCACCCCATCGCCCCCCCCCCCCCCCCCACCTCCCCTCCGCTCGCCCTCTTTTGCTCCAGGGGACGCTTCTCGCCTCTCCGCTTTCAACTGGCTACAAGGCGCGCGTCAACGCCCTGCGCACTCGAGTCAACGCCCTGCTGCCGCGAGTCAACGCCCTGTTGTCGCGAGTCAACGCCCTGCTGTCGCGCGTCAACGCCCTGCTGCTGCCTCGAGACAGATAAGTACCCCTGCTCCATGCTCGCGACCTTGTCATTTGACTCCTCTGATTCCGATCAGCCATGCATATGCTGCGCTTCGCTCTAGCTGCCTGTGGCACACTCAAGGCCCCCCTTTTGTTCAAGGTTCAGACTATCAGGTACGCCCTCCAGGTAGGTACAGAACTTTTACCCTTGGTACGGTACGGTAAGGTAGAGGTACCCCCCTCACTCCGCCCTTTTTGAGTGTGCGACAGCAGCTTTACTTCCATCCCGCTCAGCTACACGACGCCTCACTGCCCGCATGAGAGTTCCCTTCACGCTTGAACTTGCTTCTCATCACAAATCCTCCCCTTCCCCCCCTCTCCCCTCCATCACGCCTCCCTATCCCTCAGCCTTTGCTGCTCACGGCAAGGAGCATCCCTCCTCGCGAGTCAACGCCCTGCTGCCACGAGTCAACGCCCAACGCCCTGCTGCCACGAGTCGACGCCCTGCTGCCACGAGTCAACGCCCTGTTGTCGCGAGTCAACGCCCTGCTGCCACGAGTCAACGCCCTGCTGCCACGAGTCAACGCCCTGTTGTCGCGAGTCAACGCCCTGCTGCCACGAGTCAACGCCCTGCTGCCACGAGTCAACGCCCTGCTGTCGCGAGTCAACGCCCTGCTGCCACGAGTCAACGCCCTGCTGCCACGAGTCAACGCCCTGCTGCCACGAGTCAACGCCCTGCTGCCACGAGTCAACGCCCTGCTGCCACGAGTCAACGCCCTGCTGCTGCCTCAAGAGAGATGAGTACCTTCGCTCCATGCCCTCGACCCATTTCCCCCCTTGTCAGTCATTCGCCTGCTATGATTTCGATCAGTCATTTCGCATGCGCTTTTCTCGTCGCTCTAGCTGCCTGTGGCACACTCAAGGCCCCCCTTTTGTTCAAGGTTCGGACTATCAGGTACGCCCTCCAGGTAGGTACAGAACTTTTACCCTTGGTACGGTAAGGTACGGTAAAGGTACCCCCCTCACTCCACCCTCCTTGAGTGTGAGACAGCAGCTGTGCTTCCATCCCGCTCTGCTACACGATGGCTTGTGGCCTGCCTGCATGTGAGTCCACTGCACTGCACTTTTCTTCCACGGACTTCATTCTCATCATCACATACTCCCCTCCCCAACAACCCCCCCCCCACCCCCACCCCCCCCGCCTCCCCCACCCGCGCCTCCCTATCCCTCAGTGGCGTTGCTCGCGGCGAGAAGCATTCCTCTGGGGAGCATCGCGTGGAGGCGATGGGAGCATCGCGTGGAGGCGATGGGAGCATCGCGTGGAGGCGATGGGAGCAAGGGGAGCTGCTGTGGGGACGTGTGGCGGAGCGGAGGCAGCAGCGGGCGTCGTGGGCCTCTTTCCCTCCCAGCCAGCCAGGCGCCAGCACTCAGCGTCCAACAGATGAGTATCGTTCCGCCAGCCTTCTCCCCTCTGTTGTTACCGGCTTCGTTGCGCATGCTTCCGTTTTCACTGCCTCGTCGCTCCCCCTGCCTGTAGCACACCCAATACTTTTCTTTCTTCAAGGTTAAGACTGTCAGGTACCCCCCTTGGTACTCCCCTTGGTTGGTACAAAACTTGTCACCCTTGGCTGGTATGGTGAAGGTCCCCTCTCCTCTTCTTGGGTGTGCTACAGCTGGCTTGCTTGCATCCGTTTCACGTCTGACTAGACCCACCACTCGCTCGCACTTCATTCTAATCTTACCCACCATCCTCCCCCCCTTTCCCCCCCCTCGCCCCCCTTCCCTCTCCTCCCGCCCTCTCCCTCTCGACCATCTCAGGGCGCTGTGTGCGTGAAGGGCGCTTTGCCTGGCGAACGCTTCTCAAGGGGCGTGTGGCGCAGAGGGAGCAGTCGAGGGATCAGCTGGTCTTCTTGGACTTTCCATCACTCAATCATCACAGACTATTCAAAAGATAAGCACCGCTCCACCAGCCTCTCTCCCTCTGCCTCATTTTCCCGCTTGTTGTTTTGCATGCATGTCTTTGTCTTCCGTGCTGCCCTCGTTGCTCCAGCTGTCTGTGGCACACCCAAGCCCCCCTCCCCTTTTTTTAAGGTATAGGTCACCAGGTGCCCCAGTGCAGGTGTAGAACTTCTCTAGGTGCCCCTTGGTATGGTGTTTTGAGGTTCAGGTCGTCCCCTCTTCCTTGGGGGTGCTACAGCTGGCTAGGTCGTGCATGGCTAGGTCGTGCATGGCATGCTGTCCCTCCCCTCTCGTCTGCACTTGTCTGCATCTGTTCTCTCCACTCACTCACTCGCTCCCACCCTCCCTCCTTCCCCCCTTCTTTGCTGTCCCCCAGGGCACCAGGCGGAGCAGAGGCATGCGGGGGGGGGGAGCGCTGCTGCTGCACTCAGCTCAGCTGCACCTCAGCTCAGCTGCACCTCAGCTCAGCTGCACCTCGGCTCAACGCAGTTAAGCACACAACCTGGCCCTTCTCTTTCAGCCTTTTGTTGTTTGAGTTTTTGCTAATTGTGTCGTTGCTTTCAGCACTGCTGCACTCCCTCCGTTCATCACTGGTGCATTCAAATCTTTGACTGCTCCCAATCGTCAGCCACTAACTGCCTTTTGCACCACCCTCCTCGCCCCAGCAGGTTCATCTGCTGTGGTGGACGCTGCTGGTGGCTGGAGGAGGGTGCTGAGTGCCCCTGATGGTGGTGGTGGTGGCGGTGGTGGTGGAGGTGATGGTGGCGGTGGTGGCGGGTGGTGATGGTGGCGGTGGTGGTGGTGTTGGTGGTGGCAAGTGGTGGTTGGTGGTGGTGGTGGTGTTGGTGGTGGCAAGTGGTGGTTGGTGGTGGTGGGTGGAGAGTGGTGGTTGGGTGGGGCCTTGGGACTGGATGCCAATAGCCGCACGTTTAAGGCATAATGGACGATCACCAGACCCTGCGGCCGGGGGTCTGGTGTGGCTCCCCTCTTGCCACGTCGGTGAGGGTTCAGCTCTCGGGGTCGCTCCTCAGCCCCTCTCTGGTGTGGTGGTGGCGAGTGGTGGAGGGTGGTGGAGGGTGTTGGTGGTGGTGGAGAGTGGTGGTGGTGGGGTGGAGGGAGGTTGAGCCCCCTTGGGTGAGGTGAGGGCAAGGCAGGGGAGGGATGTTGAACCTCCCAGGGCAAGGCTTGTGAGGGGGGGAGAGAGGGAGGGGGGTTGAAGCCCCTGAGTTAAAGGCAAGTTAGGGTCAGAGGAACCCCCCTCCTCTGGCTTTTACTTGCCTTAAACTCAGGGGTTTCAACCCCTCTCTCTTGCCTCTCACTCGCCTTGCTTTGGGAGGTTCAGCCTCCTTCCCCTGCCTTGTGCTCACCTCACCCAGGTGGTTTCAACACCCCTCTACTGCTACTGTTGGTGCTGAATCTGGAAGTGGTGGTGCTGATGGTGCTGGTGATGGGAAGAGTTGGAGTTGAGAAAATGGCCGGGGAAGAAAAAGTGATTCTGGAGCGAGGGGGTGTTGGTGGCAGAGAAGCCAAGGAGTGTGTGATGGTGGGAAGATCGAAGTATGAATGCTATGGCCCTTGTGCTGTACAATTTGGAAAATGTTAGATGTAGTTTGTAGCAGAATGCATTCCACAAGATTAATTCGAAAGCATGTCTGCTTGTAGGTAGTTCTACCGTAAAATTTGCAGCTTTAGATTCCATGAAGGGTTGCTTTGAGTTGTCAATATAGTTTTAATATGACAACTGGTTCTTACCGGTAGAACTAGAGAGCTCTGAAAACTGGTTCTTACTGGTAGAACTAAAGAGCAGTTTTGAAAGTCTATTTTGCATGATTTCATAAATTTTCAAGTGTGTTAGATAAGAAATACCGTAGAGTGCTCTCTCCATGCAGTTTTCTCATACTCTGTACTAATAATTCCATAGAGTTCTTACCCCATTCGCGGACATTCTGACTCTTCCGCATCAGTCAGCCTTCATTTCTTACCCGCATTTGCCGCTTCCTCTCCACCCGTGTGCTCCATCTGCAATCATAATCAGCGAGTCTTAGGACACATTAGGTTCTATCTAGACTCGGTATACCGCATCAGCTGGACCGCAGACCATGGACCTTGGGTCTTCCGCTCTAAGCAACGGAGCTGGAGGCCCGGATGGCGGCTCGCTTAGGTCCGGGTCGGGGACAGGCTCGGCAGGCTTCGTTCGCGTGCGGCGTCGCGCGGCGACGCACAAGGTGTTTCAAGGCGACTATCTTCAGCTCGCAGACGAGAACCATGCGATCCTCAAGATGCTGCGGAAGCAAGGTAGGACTAATTAGGAGATAGTGCGGACAAAGTAGGTTCGACCGCAGTCGGCGACGCGCTCGGAGCATGTTTTGGAAACACGGTTACTTGGTGCAAGCGGTGCGGAAGCAAGGTGAACCACGTAAGATGCAAGAGCTCCAGCGTTATCAAGGTTCCATTTTGCGAAAGCTCCAACTTGCCTGTTCTCTGGTCCTTAATTGTGAATTTCGACTCTGGATCCCGGCTGCCTTATTCTCACTCTCACACGCCTTGACCTGCTGCATACCGCCATTGTTCCCTCACTCCGTCAGCACCTTAGCATATCGATCCCATCTGCATTTCCCCATCACGCATCCCCCTGCGTCCCGCCCTTCCAATCGTTGAAACCCTGTGCATGATTTTGAATCCGATGCGTTCGCACGGCGTCGCAGGCGACCAGAGCGTCATTTTCGCCGACACGGTCGCCAAGGTGAACCGGCACAACAGAATCGTTCCGCGGCTGCTGGTGGTGACAGAAAAGGCGGTCTACATTATTGAGCGAGATACTTTCAGGCTGAAGCGGCGCATCCCATTGGACATCATTGAATCGCTGTATCTGTCTGAGCTGGCGGATAACTTCCTGGCGCTGATGGTCCCCAAGGAGTTTGACTGCCTGCTTGTGAGCACACGCAAGACAGAGATTGTGACTGTATTGGTGGATGCGACTAAAACGACATCGAGGGAGCTGAAAGTGTGCTTCAGCAACAAGTGAGTGGATTGAGAGTGTTTCAATGCATGCGTGCTTGGGTGATTTTCTGGGCTCTGAGCGTGCCATGCACCTGCAGCAGCATATCTCTTTTACTTACTTCCTTGTGGCGGCTGCAGGTTTGAATACACAATGGATCCTGATACAACACGGCAAGTGGAGTTCACACAAGTAGCAGGTAATATCTCGTCTCTCGTTTTTCCATTTCTGAGTTTGCACTTATTGTCTTCCATAAACTCCTCTCTTCCCTTGCTTTGCCCCTCTTTTTTGCCCTTTTCCACCTTCAATTACTCATAACATTGGCTGTTTCCTGGGCAGGTGGTGTGAGCACCCGCATCACTAATGCTATCTAGTTGCACCTTTGGCTGGTATTCCCTTGTTTCCTCCATTTGTAAATTTAACCAAGACTCACCTGTGGGTGTACCTGTATGGACCTAGTGTAAGTTTTTTTTTAGCAACTTACTGTTAGATGGTTCTTGTGTGGCCTAGCCTAGGCGTGTGATACAGAATGCATCAACTATTAGACTCACATATGTCTATAGATTTAACAATACTAGTTATAATCGAGTTTGTTTTTCAATCCTTGTGGCTTTTCTGTGTTGTTTCATTTGGGTGGCAAGTAAGGTACTTCTGCAAGCCGTTATCTTTCTGTAGATGAAGAAATCTCCCCTTCAGATGTCTCAAACGAGTTGTCGTTCCAACAATTCCTTCCACCGCGTACAAAATCCGAGCCCTAAAACACCGACAGTTGCTGCAGGTGATACCACAAACCAACCTTCGCCAGCATTACTGCACTGTCCCGCATCGCCCGCCAGTCGCTACCGTCGATGGATCACTGCGCGGTTGCGCGCAACTGCTTTGATCTTTCTAAATCCTGGGATTAGAGTGGTTGAGTGGGAGAAACAGCTTCTTACCTCAATCTCGACCTTGTTTTGTCGCGTAGCATCAGGACGACCCGTGGCCGTTTGCAACGAGTCAACCCCAGCAGTCCCCTCCTGCGGGGACATGTATACCCCTCCGTGCCCTGCGGCTACGCGTAACTCTTCGTGCGCTGCGGGTAGCGGCGGTTAGATTCAACGGCATGGGACGCAGCCAGCGTCTCCGCGAGCGGTCGTTGTGGCTCCCAACCGCGAATGGCACGAAAGGGTTACCCGCGCCGCACTCCACGAGCCATGCGAGCCAGTCTCGGGCAAAGATTCCCGAGTGCCTGTCAGGCAGTGATAACCGCTGGCCCACCACCGGCCCGCCTCTCGCTCCTAACTTCCGTTCCGCGCCGCGAATTTTGCCATCCGAGGGCCGAGTGAAGCAAGGCCGCGTGAACGCATAAATGTCGGCAGACTCGCAGTTCGAACTCCACAGTCGCTTTGCGCCAGACCTCACCGACCCATTCGCCTTCTCTCTCATCCTCGCTCGCTGCGAGGAAGCAGTTCAAAGCCCCCTCGAGCCCTCCCCAGACCCGCTTTTCTTGCACCGTTTCCGTCTCTTAGGCTGCTCAGATACTCTGCTCGCACCGTTTCCTCACACCGTTCCCGCTGCGTGTTCGACCGGTTTCCAGTCCCCATGGCGTCTCCTCGTTTCGCTGCTCGCTCGCCGCCGCCTGCCGTGGCGGCTGCCGCGCTCTGCCTGCTCGCCGTCGCCGTACTCGTCGGCTCCGCTGCTGCCGCTGATCCCGTCACTGGCGTCACCCCCGATAAGGAAGGTGAGTCGCTCCACTGTACCGCCGCGGCTGCTGCTTCTGCTCCTGCCGCCGCTTCTGCTGCTCGCACTCTCTGCCTCTCTGCCCCTTTCGTGCCCCTTGTCGCATCCCCGTTAACTCGTCTCGTTCCTCGTCTCCTCCGCACCGCGCCTCCCCCTCACCCCTCCGCCAGTGGCGGCGATGCATGCGATCCGCGACGCGTTGGGCGTGGACGCGGTGCAGACGTGGCTGCCCGGCTGGGGCGACGCGGGGGACATTTGCGGGCCGCTGGGGTGGGCGCCCGAGGTCATGTGCGACCAGACGCCCGATGGCAACTACACCATCGTCGCCATGTAAGCCGCTCTATCTCATCGCTCGCGCCTCTTGACTTGAGATTTCTCAAAAGGCGCCGCAGGTGACCTGCGACCAGACGCCCTGAGGCAACTACACCATCGTCGGCATGTCAGTCCCTCCCTCTCATGCCCCTCTTCTCTCTTCCCTTTTTTTTCATTCCTTGTTGTTTACACTGTGGTCTGCAAGCGAGCGTCCGTCTCATCTCATCTGGCTGCGGCAATCCGTTACTGCATGCTGCTGCTGCTGCTGCCATGCCCCGTCCCTTGCACCTTGTGCTTCTCTGTCCTTCTGTCGCGCGCACACATCTCCTCCCATCTCCTCCCCTCTCCTACCCTCGCCCCTTCTCTCCCCGCCCACCTACACCGCACCCCATCCCGTGCAGCTCCCTATCGGGCGCCATGAGGGGCACGCTCAGTCCGCTCATCGCCGACCTCGACAACCTCCACCAGCTGTACGCCCCCTCCCCCTCCCTCCCCCTCCCCCCTCCCCCTCCCCCTCCCCCTCGCCCTCGCCCTCGCCCTCCCGCTCGCCCTCCACCTCGCCCTCCCGCTCCCCCTCCACCTCGCCCTCCCGCTCCCCCTCCCCCTCCCCCTCGCCTTCCCGCTCCCCCTTTCCCCCCCCCCACCCCCCCCCCCTTCGCTTGCTTCCTCGCCTCGCCTTCCGCCATGCCATGCCGTACCGTGCCATGCCGAACCATGCCATGCCATGCCATGCCATGCCATGCCGTACCGTGCCATGCCATGCCATGCCATGCCATGCCGTACCGTGCCATGCCATGCCATGCCATGCCGTACCGTGCCATGCCATGCCATGCCATGCCGTACCGTGCCATGCCATGCCATGCCATGCCGTACCATGCCATGCCGTGCCGTGCCGTGCCATGCCATGCCGTGCCGTGCCATGCCATGCCATGCCATGCCATGCCATGACATGCCGTGCCGTACCGTGCCATGCCGTGCCGTGCCATGCCATGCCATGCCGTACCGTGCCATGCCATGCATGCCGTGCCATGCCATGCCATGCAATGCCATGCCATGTCGTGCCATGCCGTGCCATGCTCTGCCATGCCATGCCATCCCGTGCCATGCATCTCCCCACCCCAGTGACGTCCCATCCCTGCATACGGCCTGTCCTCCTCCGCGCCTCTCCATCCCCTCTCACCCGTCCCCGCGTGTCCCCCCCTGCAGGAAGTTCTACAGCCTGGGGCTGAAGAAGGAGGGCCTGGTGGACACGCTCCTGACCCTCACGCAGCTCGACTCGCTGTCAGTAGCCCCTGCGCCCTGCGCCCTGCGCCCTGCTCCCTGGGCCCTGCTCCCTGCGCCCTGCGCCCTGCGCCCTGCTCCCTGCGCCCTGCTCCCTGCGCCCTGCTCCCTGCGCCCTGCGCCCTGCGCCCTGCTCCCTGCGCCCTGCTCCCTGCGCCCTGCTCCCTGCGCCCTGCTCCCTGCGCCCTGCTCCCTGCGCCCTGCTCCCTGCGCCCTGCTCCCTTCTCCCTTCTCCCTGCGCCCTGCGCCCTGCTCCCTGCGCCCTGCGCCCTGCGCCCTGCGCCTTTGCGCCCTGCGCCCTGGGCCGTGTGCCGTGCTGCCCTGCGTGCTTGCTCACTGCACTTACCCAAGCGCTGACATTGCGCGCCACTGCGTCTCACACAACCCCCCCCATGCCATGCTCCCTGCACTGCACCCTGCTCCCTCCCTGTGCCGTGGGCCGTGCCGTGCCATGCCGTGCATGCATGCAGACTTCACTGAGCATGCATCCCTCCCGCCACCCCCCTCCCCCTCCCGCTCTCTCCCCCCCGGCAGCGAGATCTACAACATGCCGCTGGGCATCACCACGGGGGAGCTCGACCTCTCCAAATTCGCCAACCTCCAAATCCTGTGAGCTGCTGCCACTGCTGCCACTGTCGTTGCTGCGCACTGCGCTGCTGGGAGTGGCTGCTGGGAGTGGCTGCTGGGAGTGGCTGCTGGGAGTGGCTGCTGGGAGTGGCTGCTGGGAGTGGCTGCTGGGAGTGGCTCCTGAGTCTCTCTCTCTGCCATTTCGGCCCTCTCCTTTTAGCTATGCATTCCACCTGTTGCTGTCAGTTCCTCCGCCTCTGCCCATTCTCCTTCACCCCTTAATTTTCCCTAACCGCCTCTCCTATCTCCCCTCCTCATCTCTTCTCCGCATCTCCCCTGCCCCGCTTCCCCTCTCCCCGCCACAGCACGCTGCGCAATGTGATGCTCAGTGGCCCTGTCGCCAAGCTCAACCTGCCGTCGCTCACCAACCTGCAATACCTGTCAGTGCCGCATCCCGCTTCCCCTCATCCGTCTACACGGCCATTCCACCCGTCCCAACCCAACACCGTCATCGCTCGCCTAAATCCACTCCAATTTCCTGATTCTCCTCACTCGTCGCCCTCCCCACCCACGCACCACGTGTCTCTCCATGCAAGCACTCACATATTGCAGAATCAGGTAACCTTTGCCCTCCTGCTCAACACCCCCCCATGCCCCTGTGTGTGCCATGCCCCTGTGTGTGCCATGCCCCTGTGTGTGTGTGTGTGTGTGTGTGTGTGTGTGTGTGTGTGTGTGTGTGTGTGTGTGTGTGCTGGCATGGCAGGGACTTGGCGCAGAACCAGCTGACGGGCGAGCTGCCCAAGGGGCTCTCCAACATCGCCCACATGTCAGTGCCACCCACACACCGCACACTGCATTCTGCGCACTTCACACCTTAGCTGCTGCTGCTGCTGCTGCTGCTGCTTCTGCTGCTGACTTTCATTACGTTTTTCACTGACCCTCTCCCTGCTGCTTCTCTCCCCCTCTGACTCTCTCCCCTCCGGCCCGTTCCCCCTGTCCCTCGCCTCCCTGTGTGGCTGCAGTGACCTCTCCTCGAACCAGCTCTCAGGAGTGCTGCCCAGAGACCTCATCTCCTCGCCCAACGTCCAGGACATGTGAGCTGCCCTACTCTACCGCCCCTCTGCCACCCATCTACCGCCCCTCTGCCCTGCCTCTGCTAATCCTTTGTATCCTGTCCCCTTCCCCTCCCCTCCGTGTCTCACATCTCACCTGCTGGCTGCTCATTACGGTACTGCCCCCTGCCCGTTCCCTCCCCCCCGTCTGCGCGCCCCACAGAGTGCTCTACAAAAACTGCTAGACTCACAAATTCCCCCGTCGCCCTTCCCCTGCGCGCCCCTCCCTCTCTCTGGTCGCCCCACAGATTGCTCTACAACAACCGACTGACAAAATCCCCCTTCGCCCTTCCCCTGCCCGCTCCCCCCCGTCTGCTCGCCCCTCAGAGTGCTCTACAACAACCGGCTGGAGGGCGCCCTGCCGGACGTCTTCGCCCTCCACTCGCTGTCTCACATCTCACCTTCTGTTCCCTCGCTGCCCCGTTCCCGCTGCCCGCTCCCCTCTCCGCTCCACACCACAGAGTGCTCTACAACAACCGGCTCGAGGGCGCCCTGCCGGACGTCTTTGCCGCTGCCGAGAAGCTTCAGCAGCTGTGCGTGGCGTCGCCCCCCTCGCCCCCCTCGCCCCCCTCGTTCCTCTTGCCCCCCTCGTTCCTCTCGCCCCCCTCCTTCCTCTCGCCCCCCTCCTTCCTCTCGCCCCCCTCCTTCCTCTCGCCCCCCTCCTTCCTCTCGCCCCCCTCGTTCCTCTCGCCCCCCTCGTTCCTCTCGCCCCCCTCGTTCCTCTCGCCCCCCTCGTTCCTCTCGCCCCCCTCGCTCCTCTCGCCTCCCTCGCTCCTCTCGCCTCCCTCGCTCCTCTCGCCTCCCTCGCTCCTCTCGCCTCCCTCGCTCCTCTCGCCCCCCTCGCTCCTCTCACCCCCCTCGCTCCTCTCACCCCCCTCGCTCCTCTCGCCCCTGCCTCGTGCCTCATGCCTTGCCCCATGCTCGCAAAGCTTCATGCCATGCCAAGCCATGGCTTCACCACCGTGCAGAACCTTGTCACGACGCTTCCTTGCAACCCTCACATCATCCATGCCTCCCTCGCTTCCCTCATGCACTCATCGCATCTTCTCTTGCGCACTCTGTTCGCATCCGTCCCCACCCGGCAGGGACCTCTCCCAGAACAAGCTGGTTGGCTCCCTCCCTCCTTCACTCGCCGAGCTGCCCAGTCTCTATTACATGTAAGCGCCGAACCCTTTCCCTCCCGCCCACGCCACATGCCTCTCATTCCTCTGCCTGCCTTCCCCCCATACCTTCCTCGCCCCAGCGTGCCTGCTTGCAACATCTCACCCCGTAACGCCCCACACCCTGTCCACTCCTTCCCCTGCCCTCCCGCCCTCGCCCCCTGCCCTCCCGCCCTCGCCCCCTGCCCTCCCGCCCTCGCCCCCTGCCCTCCCGCCCTCGCCCCCTGCCCTCCCGCCCTCGCCCCCTGCCATGTGTGTGCCTGCTGTGGCGGGCCGTGCAGTGACCTGAGCAGCAACTCCTTCCGTGGCAAAATGCCGCGCTTCTTTGCTGCCTGCACCGTCACCAACACCAGCGCCTTCCTGTACGCCCCCACCCTCCCACCGCCCACCTCTACGCCCCCACCCTCCCACTGCCCACCTCTACGCCCCCACCCTCCCACCGCCCACCTCTACGCCCCCACCCTCCCACCGCCCACCTCTACGCCCCCACCCTCCCACCGCCCACCTCTACGCCCCCACCCTCCCACCGCCCACCTCTACGCCCCCACCCTCCCACCGCCCACCTCTACGCCCCCACCCTCCCACCGCCCACCTCTACGCCCCCACCCTCCCACCGCCCACCTCTACGCCCCCACCCTCCCACCGCCCACCTCTACGCCCCCACCCTCCCACCGCCCACCTCTACGCCCCCACCCTCCCACCGCCCACCTCTACGCCCCCACCCTCCACCGCCCACTCTACGCCCCACCTCCACCGCCCACCTCTACGCCCCCACCTCTTTGCTCACCTGCTGGCTTTGCTCACCTGCTGGCTTTGCTCACCTGCTGGCTTTGCTCACCAGCGGCCGCTGCACTGCGTCGCCCTCTTCCACATGCCTACTTCTCAGTACCTCCCTGCCTGCCTGCCTGCGCGCCTGCATGTCTTGTTGACTCTCTGTCGCTCTGTGTGCATGTGTGTGTGCGTGGCTGCACCGCAGCAACCTGACGAGCAACAAGCTCACGGGCGGCATTCCCAACAGCCTGGGCCTCTACGCCAACCGCAACACCGTGCGCCTCACTGTGTACGTCACCCATCCCAACCCACTCACACCACTGTCCATGGCCCCCCATTTCCCCTCTTCACACCTGCATGCGTGCCCCTCCAATCCACATCATTCCCCCAGCCTTTACCAATGCAACCACTCGCGACCCCTCCCCTCCCCTAAACCCTACACTGCTCTGCCCTGCGCTGCTGTGTGCATGCAGCGACCTGTCAAGCAACCAGCTGCAGGGCGCCGTGCCCACGAGTCTGCTGGTAGCAGACACGTTCTTCTACGACCACAACGACGGCCTCTGTGACGCACCCTACCTCCCCATGTGCGGCCCTGACGGCAAGCCCGTTGCTGCTGATGCCACTGATCCCACTACTGCTGCTCTTCTCTCGCTCGTTCAGAATCGCACTGCTGCCGACGACGAGCCCATGCCTGATGGGTCCACAGCTGCTGACTTCACCACGCCCACTCCCACCCAGCCCACCACTCCCACCACTGACACCGCCACGCCTGCTGACGCTGATCCTGCAGCTGAGCCTGCTGTTGCGGCGAAGCCCGCTGCCACGGCTGAGCCGGCTGCCCCCGCCCCCCAGCTGACCTGCAACTGCGAGCAGCTGTCCGCGGGTGTCATATTCGGCATTGCCTTCGGCGCTGCGGTGCTGGCGGCTGTGCTGGTGGCTGCGGTGGTGCTGACGTGGCTGCACTATGGCAATGCGCGCGCGGCGGCGCGTGTGGAGGGCGCTGGGTTCCTGTTTGCCCATGGGGAGAAGGTGCATGGTGCTGTCAAGGATGTGGAGAAGTATGCCAACTAGCTGGCAACTGGCAGCAGCAACAGCAGCAGCAGCAGAAAGGACAAGTCCTTGAAATGTTAGATGCTCCCAGGTGGCAGATTTGATATTCTTTGGATTGATGGCAGGTGGCAGTTTCTTCTTTCCTGCGGTTGGTTGTGTGGAAGAGTTGATTGTGGCAAATGGTATCATGCATGCTTGTATGTCTCTAATTGCTTGTAACTGTCATGGAATAATATAACCGCGATTGCCACAATTCCATGCTCTCTTATCGAGTCGAACCTGTCGAGTCCCACCGACATTCGAAGGCCCATGTCACGCACCATCCATCATGGACAGTGCACGGTGGTGCTCGCTCCTCCCCACTCCGCTCACCATATGGTTCATCAGATCAAGTCATACATGGTCCATGACTTCTTGCCTACCATTCCAGGCACTCTGGGTCTTCGACTCTTTTCCCAACCCAAGTGCCAGAGCAGCAAGTAGCATCGCCATGTGTCGCCGCCAGGCTTCAATTGGGGAGGTGCTAACCGTCACCCACCTCGCATCAGGGAGATTCTTGCGGAAATTTTAGCGAGTTGCTTAGGGCTTGCCGCGTGAAGCCTAGTACAGTAGTAATCGTTACACAAGCGGCTGAGTTGACATCGTCGCACAAGTCTGAGTTATGTCGCTGGAGGCCTACGAACAGCATGATGACGCCTTGGAATTGTCGGGCGAAGCGGAGCGATTGTCGCACAAAGGCTAGGGATTGTCGCACGCAAGCTAGGGATCGTCGCACACCCAGTTTCAGCCGAATTCATTGGCGCCGTTGCGTACGCCATCGTTCGTCTCTCGATGTCACGCGCAACATATCCACCTTTGTAGCTTATAGCGGAGCGTCTGATGGTCGCTCCAGTCCCTGCTTGTAGCGGGTATCAATCATCTGAGGCTCGTCATCGTCCTTTCAACCAGCTCTGCGCCGGCGCGTTCGCCGTTTCGTTCAATTCCGCTTTCTAGAAACCCACAACTCTCTGGTCAGATCTCACCGAAGTGAACCGAGTTCCACCGCTCTCAATCTACTGCTCATTTGGGTGCATAGCTTTTTCCCGCAGTCCGCCCCCCATGGGGAGCTTCAACGAGCGGGACCAGCCTCGCGCGCCCGACGTACCCTCCGCGCCTTCCTCCATGCTGCTCCCCTCCGCGCCCTCCCCCACTTCCGTCAACGCAATTGGCCGATCGCGCTCCCTCACAAACTCCTCTTCCGCCTCCCTCGTCGTTGCCTCTGTTCTCTCCGCATCCCGCTCCCCCCTCCCCTCTTTCCCGCGCCAATCCTCCACTTCCTCCACGTCCCCCTGCCGCGCCTTGCGCCCGTCGCCCCCCGCCGCGCGCGGAAGCGGCGCCGGGCGGGGGGAAGACCCTTCCGCGGAGGTCTCCCGCGAGTTCCCCAACGGCGACTCGTACCGCGGGCAGTGGGGGGCGGCGTGGGACGTGCCGCACGGCGCGGGGTGCTACGTGTGGGCGGACGGGAGCGTGTACGAGGGGGAGTGGGCGCGCGGGGAGAAGCACGGGCAGGGGCTGTTCGTGTGGCCGTCGGGCGCGCGCTACAAGGGCGAGTGGGCGCGCGGGCAGATGCAGGGCGTGGGGAGCTACTGGGGCGCGGACGGGTCGTTTTACACGGGGAACTGGGCGGGGGGAGTCAAGCACGGGCTAGGGCGCAAGCTCTACCCTAACGGGGACCGTTACGAGGGCTTCTGGTCGTTCGGCGCGGCGCACGGGCCGGGGCGGTACGTGTGGGCGAACGGGAACGAGTATTTCGGCGAGTGGGAGGGGGGGACGATGAGCGGGTGCGGCACTTTCACGTGGGCGAGCGGCGAGCGGTACGAGGGCGAATGGGAGGAGGGCGTGGAGCACGGCGTGGGCGTGTTCGCGTGGCGCGACGGTAGCCGTTATGAGGGTACGTGGAGCCGCGGGCTTAAGGACGGTAAGGGCGTGTTCTACCCCGCTGGGTGCGCGCGTGGCGCAGGGGACGCTGGGGAGAGGGGGGAAAGGGAGGCGGGGACGGGGGAGGAGAGGGATGGGGATGAGGGGGAGGAGGAAGAGGGGGAGGAGGCGGAGGAGGAGGAGGAGGAGGAGGAGGAGGAGGAGGAGGAGGAGGAGGGGGATGTTGATGGGGACGGGGAGGGAGCGGAGGAGGAAGAGGATGAGGAGGAGGGATGGGGATTGGAAGGCGAGGAGAAAGGGGAGGAGATGGGGGGAGAGGCAGGGCAAGGGGGTGCAGTGGGAAACAGTGCTGCTGCAGTTGCAATTATTAACGGGTGCAGTCCTGATGACGTTGATGGTGCTCTGGCGGCCGTTGCAGCACCAACGGCAGTGGCAGCGGCGTCAGGGGCGAGTGTGGCGGGTGCAAGTGCGGGGGAAAGGGCTGCTGCGGGGCAGGCAGCACCTGGCGCCATGCTGCTGTCCAAGCAGGCTCCAGACCTAAGCTCAGGCTCGTTCAACGCTGGCTCGGCGAGCTCAGGCTCGGGGAGGATGGCTCGGAGGGGCGGTGCAGCAGCAGCAACAGGGGGAGGGGGAGGTACAGGGGGGGTGAAGGGCGTGCAGAGGATGCTACAGAAGCGGCTTACAGCGGGGACGAGGGCGCTGGAGGTGGCATTGGGGCCGACGGGGAGTGTGTACCTGGCGGCTGACGCTGTTCCCGCCATGCCCCGCCCTGACTCCTCCTCGCTTGCCCGCGGAGAGGGCAGGCCAAGCGCGCGGGAGGGGGAAGGTGGTGTGGAGAAAGGGGCAGAGAGGAGGGAGGGGGGTGTGGAGGGAAGGGAGGGAGTTGGGGTGAGGGAGGAGAGGGAGAGGGAGGGAAGGGAGGAAAGGGTGGTGATTGCGATGGGGGAAGTGATTGACGCGGACACGTGGCGGCCGCTCATTGGCAGCGGTGCGGAGAGCAGCCAATGGGAAGGAAGCAGCGGTGAAGCGGCAGTGGTGGGTGGGAGAGAGGCAGCGGGAAGTGGTGCAGAGAGGGAATTGGAAATGGGCATGCTAAGCGGGGCGAGGGGGGTGAGGGAGAAGGCGGATAGAGAGCCATGGGAGAACGGGGCAGAGGGGGGATATGACAGATTTCCCCCCCACCCTCTCACCTGCGCCACCATGCCCTCCCCCCGTGCCAAGCCTGGCGGGCGCCCCCCTCCTGTCCCCGCGCGCTCGCCCCTGCCACCTGGCCGCCCCCCCCCGCCCCTTCCCCGCTCGCCCCTGGCGGCTGGGCGGGGTCTGTGCCATGCGCGCCAGCCCAGTGACGACTTTTTTATTGGCCTGTCGTCGGCCAATAGCAGCAGCACACGTGGCAGCCCTGGCAGCAGGAAAGGGGGGCGCAAGTGCTTGTCGGGGCCGCTGCAGGCGCGGGCAGGCCTGGCGAGGGAAAGTGGGGAGGCGGGGGAGGGGGGCGAGATGCAAGGGGAGGAGGTAGTGGGGATGCATGGGAGTAGGGGGCGGCGGCACAGTGGGAGAGTAGGAGAAATAGGAGGCACTCAGGTGGAAGAGGAAGAGGACGAAGAGAAGGGTGTTGGCAGAAGCGCTGCTGTCTCGCGGCCAATGACAGCGAGCCACGTGTCGGAGGTGGATATGGAGGGGCGGCAGGACAACTGGAAGGTGTGGAGGGAGGAACCCCCTGTGCGCTGGCGCCCCCACCTGGCCCTCCGCGCCCCCCTTGCTGCTCCCTCCCCCTCCCCTTCCCCCGCTGCCCCCACCTCCACCCCAGGCCCTGCTGCTGCTGCCAACGTGGGACCTGCCGCATTCAACTCAGCAGGTGCTGCTGCCAGCTCAGCAGCGAGTGGGGCGTCAGCAGTGGCGACGGGGGCAGGTGGGGCGGAGGGGGTAAGGTCACCGTGGGCTATCGCGCGCGCTCTGACCATGGGCCCTGTGCCGGGGCGAGGCCAGCAGTATGCTGAGGGGGAGGCGCGCAGTGGAAGGGATTGTGGGGCGCAGGAGGCAAGGGAGGAGGGCGGAGAGCAGGAGGTGACGAGTGGGGAGCAGTCAGGAGAGGCAGCGGTGCTGCGATCAAGCGGGGGAGGCGAGGGCGGCGCGTGTGAGGTGCATGGCGATGGCTCAGAGCAGATGCGTGCCCCTCCACACTCGCCACGCTCACACATGCACCACCATGCGCCAAGGGGCGCGGATGGGGGAGTGCAAGAAGGAGGACCCGGGGGAGGGGGAGGGGGAGGGGGAGGGGGAGGCCATGGGGAAGGGGGAGTGCAAGGGCACGGGCGCGCGGAGGGGAGGAGGCGGGGGCGGGGGCGGGGGCGGGGGAGGGGGTACAGCATGGGGCAGGTGGCAGCAGTAGAGGCGGTGGAGGATGCAGTGATGGTGAGGGAGTACGTGCACGGCATGCTCGTTGCACAGCAGCCCCTCTCCTCCCACTCCCACCCCCCGGTAAGGCTGTTGTGTGTGTGTGTGTGTGTGTGTTTGTTTGTGTTGAGGCGCATCAAAGGAGGATGCAGTGATGGTGAGGGAGTATGTGCACGGCGTGCTGGTGGTGCAACAGCCCCTCTCCTCCCACTCCCACCCCCCGGTAAGCCTGCGTCTTTCTGTTTGTGTGCTGCCATGCCTGTTCCTGTGCCAGTGTGTGTGGTGGAGGTGTGGTGGGCGAGGATGTATGTAAGGAGAATGCCCACCAGTATGCATTGCAATGGAAGCACGAACCGCAAATGATTCGTGGTTGGTTTGTGAGGAGGGTGAGGAAGCATGCAAGGAGCATGGAAACACAAACGAACCACGAGTCATTTGCACCTGCATGCATCGCTGCTAGCCCATGCTCCCACCTTCACCTTCCCCTTCCCCTTCCCCTTCCCCTTCCCCTTCCCCTTCCCCTTCCCCCCCCTGCCCTTCCTTCCCGTGCCACTCTTCTATCCTGCCCTTCCCATGCTGCTCTGCTCTGCTCTCCCCCCTCCCTGCGTGACGTGTGTGGGGGGGTGGGAGGCAGCGGTGGCACGTGCCGAGGGGCAGGGAGGGCAAGAGGGCGGGCGAGCTCATCTACAAGGGCCACCGCAGCTACCTGCTCATGCGCACGCTGCAGCTCGGCCTCCGGTGTGCCTTGTGCCTTGTGCTGCTGGGGTGATGGGGGTGATGGGGGTGATGGGGGTGATGGGGGTGATGGGGGTGATGCGGGTGATGGGGGTGATGGGGGTGATGGGGGTGATGCGGGTGATGGGGGTGATGGGTGTGATGGGATGATGTGATGATGGGGTGATGGGGTAATGGGGTGCTGCCAATGATGCGATGCTCGTGTGCTTGCTGGGGTGGCGAGGTGGGTTGGTTGAACAGAGCTCCTCTCCTGCATAGTGCATACCACCTTTCCTATCCTCTCCACCGCATGACTCACATGCTCATCCCACCTCCCATTCACACTCCCCTCGTCCCCTCAACAGGTACAGTGTGGGGAGGATCACGCCAGACGCGCAGAGGGACGTGGGCCCGGCGGACTTCAACCACTGCCCGGCTGTGCGCTTCCCCCCGGCCGGCTCACCCACCACACCACCGCACTCCATGCACGCCTTCAAGTGGCGCGACTACTGCCCCGCCGCCTTCAGGTTGGTTTGATTTCCGTGTTATTGCCTCCCCTTCTTCCTGCTTCCCCCCGGCCGGCTCATCCACCACACCGCCGCACTCCATGCACGCCTTCAAGTGGCGCGACTACTGCCCCGCCGCCTTCAGGTTGGTTTGATTTCTGTGTTATTGCCTCCCCTTCTTCCTGCTTCCCCCCGGCCGGCTCACTCACCACACCGCCGCACTCCATGCACGCCTTCAAGTGGCGCGACTACTGCCCCGCCGCCTTCAGGTTGGTTTGATTTCCGTGTTATTGCCTCCCCTTCTTCCTGCTTCCCCCCGGCCGGCTCACCCACCACACCGCCGCACTCCATGCACGCCTTCAAGTGGCGCGACTACTGCCCCGCCGCCTTGAGGTCCACTTATAGCTTTGCTCTGTCCTAGAGTCCCCACTTCTTCCACCTTCCCGTTCGCACTTGTTCTTTCCTCCCGTCTCACCATATCTTCCCTCTCACACACCCCCATCCGCCACGGCCCTACGAGCCATGTTTGGCATAGACCCGGGGGACTACATGGTGTCGCTGTGCCTTCCCATACTCTCTCTCGTTGCGCCTTCGCACTCCCTCTTCACCCGGTCTGCCCCTGTTCTCTCAGGGCACTGCGCGCCATGTTTGGCATAGACCCGGGAGACTATATGCTGTCGCTGTGCGGGGACGACGCCCTGAGGGAGCTGAGCAGTCCGGGCAAGTCAGGCAGCGTCTTCTTCCTCTCGCATGACGACCGCTTCCTCATCAAAACCATGCGCAGCACCGAGCTGCAGGTGCGTGGGGTGACCTGCAGGTGACCTGCAGGTGGGGTAGAGACAGGGGCAGGGCAAGTTGCTGGGTGCATGGCAGCGTCTTCTTCCTCTCGCACAACGACCACTTTCTCATAAAAACCATGCGCAGCGCCGTGCTGCAAGTGGGTAGGCTGACCTGCAGGTGGGCACAGATATGGGCAGGTCAAGTTGCTGGGTGCATGGGAGCATGATGGGGAGGGTCAAGTTCATGCTGGTGCATCCCATGCCATCCCCAATCCCACTCCCTTCTCTTTCCAACCCAGCCCCCACCCCCATCCCCGCTCCCCTCCCCCAGGTGCTCCTGCGCATGCTACCCGCATACTATCGCCACGTGAAGCACAACCCACACACGCTGCTCACCAAGTTATTCGGCCTGCACGCCTTCAAGATCTACCACACTGCCTCTTCGCACACCACCTCCCATGTCATACCTCATCCCAATTCCATCTCCTTCCACCCCACCCTCTCTGCTCTCCCCCAGGTGCTCCTGCGCATGCTCCCCGCCTACTACCGCCACGTGAAGCACAACCCACACACGCTGCTCACCAAGTTCTTCGGGCTGCACGCAATCAAGATCTACCACACCGCCTCCTCGCGCACCACCTCCCGCCTGGCTGCCAAGGCGGGCGGGCGCGAGTCAGTCATCCGCTTCGTGGTGATGGCCAACCTGCTGGTGTCGCCGCTGCGCGTGCACCGGCGGTTCGACCTCAAGGGGTCGTCGCAGGGGCGCAGCACGGGCAAGGTGGCCGTGGATGACACCACCACTCTCAAGGACCTCGATCTCGACCTTGCGTTTCTGCTCCACCCGCCCTGGCGTCCCCTGCTGCTGCAGTAAGTGCGCTGCTTGTTGTAGTTCGTCTTGAGGTGCCTCAAAAATCCCAATAGCCCCAATAGCCCCAATAGCCCCAATAGCCCCATCTCAATCATTCCTGCCTCTCCTCCCCCCTCAATGCAGGCAGATAGCAGCAGACTGTGCGTTCCTGGAGCAGCAGCACATAATGGATTACAGCCTGCTGCTGGGGGTGCACTTCAAGGCCACAGGACCCCCGCCCGCCCCCATCGTCACCATCACCGATGCACACCTTGACGGCCCAAGCCCCGTCTCTGTCCAACCCGCCGCAGCACCGCATGGGAGCAGTGCCACTGCTGGCAGCACCATGTCTGCAGGTAACTTTTGAGTCGACTCAAAAGGCAGTGCCAGTGCTGGCAGCACCATGTCTGCAGGTAAATTTTGAGTCGACTCAAAAGGCAGTGCCAGTGCTGGCAGCACCATGTCTGCAGGTAACTTTTGAGTCGACTCAAAAGGCAGTGCCAGTGCTGGCAGCACCATGTCTGCAGGTAACTTTTTGAGTCGACTCAAAAGGCAGTGCCAGTGCTGGCAGCACCATGTCTGCAGGTAACTTTTGAGTCGACTCAAAAGGCAGTGCCAGTGCTGGCAGCACCATGTCTGCAGGTAACTCCTGAGGCTGCTTAATCGTCCTTTCCACTCCACTTTGCATGGCATGTTGACAAGTTTTTCAAGTGTGTGTGTGTGCGGTGTTGTGCATGTGGTGCATGCGTGGTTCCACCTCAGAGAGGGAGCAAGGGCTCGTGGGCCAAGCAGGTGCAGCGGGCGGGCAGAGTGAGGTGCGGGATGGGGGAGGCGGGGAGGACACGCAGCAGCCCCAGCAGGGCCAACAGGCGGCATGTGAGAGTGACGCGGCTGCAGCCTCACGAAGGCTGAATGTTCCCCCGCCCCTGCATCAGGTGTGCCCTGCACCAGGTGTGCCCTGCACCAGGTGTGCCCTGCACCAGGTGTGCCCTGCACCAGGTGTGCCCTGCTCCACGTGTGCCCTGCACCAGGTGTGCCCTGCACCAGGTGTGCCCTGCACCAGGTGTGCCCTGCACCAGGTGTGCCCTGCACCAGGTGTGCCCTGCACCAGGTCTTCCCTGCACCAGGTGTGCCCTGCACCAGGTCTGCCATTGCCCACTTCCCCGCCCTCCCATACCACTCTTCCACATTCTCTCCCTCATTCACTAGTTTTTGCAATTTCTGTCTTAATTGCTGTGTTTTGTCCTCTGCCCTGTCGTCTCTTTCCCCCTCTCTCCCCTCCCCCTCTCACCTCCGCCGACCTCTCTCCCTGAAACTCCGCTTCTTTGTTCCCTTCCCGTCCCCCTCTCTTCTTCTCCCCTTTTTCCCCCCCTTATCAGCTGAGGAGGCGTCTATTCCGCCCATGGCAGCGCATTCTCACGGACTCTCCCTCTCCTCTGCAGAGATCTCTGGGGGACCCTGGCCGAGGAGGCACATCATCCTCTCACACCTCCCCTTCTCACGCCTCCCCCTCTCACACCTCCCCTTCTCACGCCTCCCCCTCTCACGCCTCCTCTTCTCACACCTCCCCCTCCCACACATCACCATCCCATGCCGGTGCCACGACTGCTACTACTGCCACCACTGCCTCTCCAGCCGCTGCTGCCACCACCCGTGCCGCCACAGTGCGGCACTTCTTCCCGCGCTCGCTCACGGCAGGCAGCGGCGGCAGCAGCCCACTGCACCTGCTGGCGCCCTCCTTCCCCCACTCGCACTCCCTCACCACCGACGAGAGCAGCGTGGACGAGGGTAGTGCGGAGGGGAGTAGCAGCTGTGGCGTGGTGGAGGGGGACGGGAGGGCATGCAGTGACGAGGAGGCGTTGGGCCCAGCTGATGATCGCGCTGGTGATGGTGCTGCTGCTAGTGGCCTGGATGGGTGCAGTAGGAGGACCAGCAGCAGCAGCAGCAGCAGCAATTGCAAGAGCAGCAGCAGCAGCAGCAGTGCATGGAGCAACCATGGCAACACGCACAGCACCAACCAGGACAGCACGCACGGCAGGGCCAGCAACAATGCCAATGGCCGCCGCCATCCCACACCCCCCCGTATTCCACCCTTGTCCCGCCTTCCTCCCCACTCTCCTGTTTCTGCCTCTGCCCCTCCTCCTGCCCCAGCTCCGACCCCTGCCTCCGCCTCAGCGTATCCCTCTCCGCCTCTCTCCTCCTCCCCCTCCCCTTGTGCTGTGGGTGCGGGAGCAAGGGCGGCAACTGGGACAGACGGCAAGAGTGCAGGTGCAGCAGGGGCGGTGGTGGGGCAGGCTTCACCAGGGGAGAAAACAGCCGGACGTGGAGGAGGAGCAGTGGCAGCAGCAGCAGGACGGGGAGGAGGGGGAGGGGGGGGGAAGGGGAGGGGGGTGGTGGGGCAGCTGTTGGGGCAGGGCATGGGGGGCACGGCAGTGAGGGTGGACAGGCGCACTCGCAGGGCCGTGCAGGACCCACTGCTGGGGGAGGCGTATGAGGTGCTGCTGCACTTCGGTATCATCGACATCCTGCAGGTGTGGTGCCCTGTGGTGCAGTGCGGTGCAGGTGGGTGGTTTGGTGCATGTGAGGGGTGTGGTATGGTGCAGTTACCTTTAAATCGGTTCAGAAGTTGTCTTGCTGCTGCGGGAAGCGCATTATGAGGTGCTGCTGTGCTGCACTTGGGTATCATCGACATTCTGCAGGCAGGCCGTGTGGTGCACGTGTACAAGAGCCTGCAGTTTGACTTTGTAGTTGACTTGAAAGTCAACCATGTGACCCAACCCCAAATGCCCTTCTGCACCCACCGTCCCCCTCCATCCTCAACCAGGAGTACGATGTGGGCAAGAGGGGGGAGCACATGTACAGGAGCCTGCCTGCAGTACAACTTTCTTGTTAAGTGACCCAACTCCCAACGCCCCTATGCACTCACCACCCACCTGCAGGAGTACGATGTGGGCAAGCGTGTGGAGCACGTGTACAAGAGCCTGCAGTACGAGCAACCTCTCCCCTTGCTCTGCTTCCTATCTCGCCCAACCCCACCATCCCCACCTGCAGGAGTATGACGTGGGCAAGCGTGTGGAGCACGTGGTGAAGAGCCTGCAGTACGACGGGCAATCCATCTCTGCAGTCAACCCCTCGCTCTACGCTCGCCGCTTCCGCTCCTTCATCCTCTCCACCTTCCCCGACCCCCTCCACCCCCACGCCTCCCATCCCGATGCTCCCGATGCTGATGCTGCTCACGGCAACTGCACTGCTGATGGTGGTGCTGGTGATGGGGATGATGGTGATGCTGATGGTGATGCTGATGATGGTGATGGTGGTAACGGTAATGGCAGTGATGATGACGGTGGTGATGATGGTGATGGCTATGGTGATTTTCTTCTTGCCTCTCCCGCGGGAGGTGTTCGGGCGACGTGCAGCATTTTCCGGCTGTCTCACTTCTAGTGGCATGCGAGACACACTGAGCAACACATTCCATTTATTATTAATTGTACAACTTCGGTACGCTAAAGGCATGCCTGCAGCACGCAGTGCAACCTGTACAAAAATGTATCCATGAAATATCCCACCAAACACGATACTAAAATAATCAAACCACTTGCAGCCCTTTACTCCGGGGCCCTGGAGATTCCACTCATGGCCACGTGTAGGCGAGCTGGTGCTGCCTGCAAGGATACTTACGGTTGAGTATCACGGCTGGCCCAGCTGGTGGCACTGGGGGCATGTACAGGTGAGCTGGTGCTGCAGCAGAGTGGCCTCCAGCTCCCTGTGCTGCGCTTTCAGCTGCTCCACATACGCCACGGCGCCATCCAGCATCGCTGCCATGTCCCCCCTCCCCCTCACTGTTTGCCTCAGCCTCTGCAGCTCCTGACTGCGTGCGTTCGAACGGGAAAGAGGGAAGGGGGGAGGCAGGGGAGGAGGCAGCGCAATAATGAATGATGGGAAGGGGGATGAGGGGGTGATGTGTGCATGCCTGTCAGGTGGACGTTATGCAAGATGGAGAAGTAGCAATGGGGGCCCGGTGCGGGTAGGAGCATGGAAGGGTTGACGGGGTGGGTAAAGGACCAAGGGAGGGGGGCAGGAGGAAGAGTGGTTGTGGAACGTGGAGTGGAGGTGCATCTGGTGGGGGTCGTACCTGATTCGCTCCCTCCGCTCTTTCTCCACCACACTCTTGTTCTTGCCGCGCCCACCAGACGAACCCGAACCTCCTGCTCCTCCTCCCCCCTCTCCCAGTACTTCCATCCCCGACATGTCTCCTGTTTCTGTCCCTCCCTCCGCCTCCGCACCCACCTCCGCCCCTGCTGCTGCGTGTCCCTCTGCAGACCCCCCAGACCCACTTGGCACCGGTGCTGTGTGCAACTCGGCAAGTGGGCCGCCTGTGCCGTGGGCGGCAAGGGGGGTGTCTGCTTGCACGGGGGCCATGTCACCCCCATGCACCATGCCACCGCTCCATGCTGCTCCCATGGGATGACCACCCGAGGGGCCCACCGCGCTCAGGGGGTCCCCACTTGTACCATGCGCAGTCATGAAGTGTGCAGCCATGGGGTTCACGGCCGTACCGTGCGCATGTATGGGGGGTGGAGCGCCCATGAGCATGGCGTCAAACTCGCACCACATCCGCTCCTCCTCCGCTCCCATGCCGCCTGCTGCTGCCGCCGCTCCTGATGCACCTGCTGCTGCTGCTTCCGCTGCCGTCCCCTCTGCCGCTGCGGCCCCCACATGCCAGGCCCCTTGGTGGGGCGGCAAGAACGAGGTCATGTGCGCGGCAAGCGGGGTCATGGTAGGTGCAAGTGGGTTAATGACGATAGGTGCAAGCGGGGCCGTGGCAGACGGGTGGTGCTCTGGCAAGGGTGTGGCGGAGGGGGTGTTAGGCCTGCCCAAGGCGTGGGGAAGGCGAGGCGCAGAGGGGGAGTGAGGGAATGCTGCTGCGGGCGCGGAGTGGGAGTGGGAGAATGATGTTGCGGGCGCGGAGTGGGGCCGCAGTGGTATGGGTTGCGAGTGGGGGATGAATTGGGGTGGGGAGTGGGGGGTGAGAGGTATGGGAGCGGAGCGGGGGAGGAGGGGTGCGGGGGCGGAGCGGGGTGGGAGAGGCATGGAGGCGGAGTGAGGGAAGAGGGGCACGTGGGGGAGGCGGGGCATGGGGGGAGGAAGAGCAGCGTGCGTGGGCCAGGCAGCCAGACCCAGTCCACCTGCAGTCGCTGTGTCACCCGCAACACCACCGCCAGCACCGACAGCAGCAGCACTGCCTGCGAGGTTAGAAGCACTGCCAGCGCACGCAGCAGCAACAACAGCAGTAGGTGGAGCGCGCACGGCTTCAGTGCCCCTCCATCCGCCCGTCATTCTGGGCGCGGGGGGTCCCATGCTCTGCTGCGCGGATCCCAACCGCCCCGCCTGCCACCTCTCCGCCACGCCACTACTTCCGCTCCCCCTTACCATTCCCCCAGCATCCGCGCCTCCTGCCCCGCCGCCCACCGCGGCTACCACAGCACCTGAATTCCAGACCCCAAAATCACTCCACTGCCCCATGCGACCCCCTCCCTGCACAACCACCCCCACTCCGCCCGCGGTTTCTCTGCATCCCACCACGCCCCCCTGCTCTCCTGCGCTCTCCGCCAACCGCCGTCGCACGTGCTCCGCCCTGCTCCGCCCCTCCGCCCCTCCGCCCCACCCTTCTCCGCCAGCGATGGCCCTCTCGCTGCGCTCGCCGCCACTCGTCCGCGGGCGAGTGGCGGAACGACCGCCGCTCGCAGTCATGCTGCGTGCACGAATAGCAGGTTCCGAAATAGCAGACTCGGATGGACCAGGTTCGGAGGGACCAGGTTCGGTAAAAGCGCCATTGGTGCTGGCCTTATGAGGGGAGGCGGGTTCCGCGGAGGGGCGGCGCAGATGAGCGGTGAGGGCGCGCACCATGGCCTCTCGACTCGCGACGAACGCGCTGAAACGCGACGCGCTGCCGTCCACGCTGCTGCTGCTGCCACTCGCGCCGTCCGCCTGCTGCCTTGCGTGTGCGCCTCTGCCTACCAGACTCCCGCTTCGGCGGGGAAACGCGCATCCATCGCTTCCTCCCCGCCGGGATTCGAGTACCCGCGCAATCTCCTGACTTTCCTGGGCGAGAGACGCGGAGGTGGAGCGTGGAAGATGCGCGATGATGTCTTCTATTCCGCCGTCGCCACGCGCTTGGTTTCTATGGCGTGCTTCCGCGGATGTTTCCGACATGTTGTGCGCGCTAGAGTCCGATCCCGTCGTTCTGACCTCTCTCGCCCCCCCGTCGTCCGTGCGCTCACGTTCCGCATGCCGCGCATTGCCAGGGGCTACGCGCCGTGTCACTGCGGCTGCCATTTCCCGCGCGCGGTCCTGCGCTTCCAGTTCCGCCAATGCGCGGGCAAGCGGATAATCGCGAGCGTCAGTCCCACGCAGGCGCGCATCCGCCGCGGGCGCACTTCGGCGTTCACCTATCCCCGAGGGAACCCCCGAAGACGCTACCGCTGCATCAGGCGCTATACTCCCATCCTCGCACCGGGCCACGCATTTCGCATGTTGTGCTCGTTCTGGGGGGAGGACAGCGCGTCGCGGCGATGCGACGGGTTGTAGCGAGTGGAGAGCGGCGGCGGAAGGCGATCGCGGGGATGGCAACGGGGAGGAAGGAAACGGCGGAGAATCGCTCATTTCGGACAGCAGGCTCGCGAGCAGCTGCACGGACATCACGTCTGGCGCCTCGCCCTTGGGCATTCCTGTTGAAGGACCTTCAACGCGCGCCAGAGGCTCATCGGACACGTTCGCGATGCGCATCCCCGAGGCGCAGTCTGAACTTGGGGTATTGATTCTATCATGGGATGTCGAAGCGCGAACGGCGGACATAGTGACGGGAAAACGGGGAAATGACGGAGTCATTGCGAAGAGATTCGATTCCCGCTGAGATTGCGATGAGTGCGCGTTCAGCATATATTGTGCCGGTGTTTGCGCGAGGCTGGCATCGTGATGAAACTCGGGCGTGGTTTCGCCGTCGTCTGCGTTAGGACCATGGTGAATCCCGCGCGTATCCTTCTCCATAATCAGGCTAGATCCTCTCGACGGATTCGATGTGGATGCCACATTAGACGGGGAACTTGAAAGGAGGGACGTGAATGTCAGTTATGTGTTGTGGATCTTGATAGGAGGTGGTGTGAAATGTGGAGCAAATTGGTATGGTTGCGGAAAGCAACGGGATTGAATGCTGATGGTAAGTTGAGGAGACAGATGGAGTTGGGGCAAGTGGGTGGACGGTGCATCGCCTCCCCACAGCGAGTCAGCAACCCACGCTTACGAAACAAATGTGCCTCCGAGCCGCGAACAATACATCAGCGCTGCGAATGGACATTCTGTTTTCCCAGCTCCAGCGCTGGTTGAAGGGGCCTGCTGCTTGATTCAAATCAAAGGGCATTATGCCTGGCGCCAGTCAAAACTTCTAACAGTCCGCTATAGGCTTAGTTCGTTCTGTGTGTGTTCTGTTCGGTATCGAGGGAAAGCATTCGGTCTTGTCTTTTGACGCTCTGGACACCTCTAGCATCCTCGACCAATCACGGACGGCTCGTTGTGGTGTGTGCGGTGTCAAATTGTCAACATGCTCACAACATGAGTGCATGACAGGGACGGCAAGGCGAAGGTGCAGGTGTGCTTCTTCTGCCTGGTGCTTAGAGGAGCCCACCGAGGCAAATGCAATGTGCAGTGTTGTCGTTTAGATGGTCGGCGAAAGGGGCAACGTGGAGGGAAACAGTGTTGTGCAGGCGCACATGCCTTTCTTATTACCAACAGACGGCTGTCCTTTTGACCACGTGTCAGCCTGAGGAGTGATATGCATGCATGGTTCACGAACTTTAGAGCAGGGCCAACGAGGCAGTAGTACGAACGAATCAGGCCGAGATTATTGAATAAAGAGCCAATGAGCATTCACTTTGACACAATGGACAGTGCATGAACCAGGGGGGTGAAGGCGGAGGTGCTTCCGTATCGTCCCTAGTGTCTCGATCATTCTCCCCCAGCCCGGAAACAGCTAGTGTACAGAATAGCAGAGAACTGTACACTGGATAAAACCTTGTCAGCGTGGTTTGAAATATCGCCGGCTTAATCCAGAAACAGTATTTGATATCTGAATGACCAGAATTGCTGACCGTTTTTCCTCCCTTTCCAGCATCAAGCACACGTGCATGCAGTGCTGCTCGCCCAGCCCTGAAGCTTCATTGCTTGTCCATGGAATTAATGCTCGCTGGCAAGTCTTCTGTCCTCGCTTGACGTCATGACGTCAGACACCTCCATCCCACCCCACCGAACTCACCAACCGACGTTACATCAGTGAGAAGATTTTCCGCTAAGAGGTTGGTTCTGACTGCTGTACATTACATTCTGGTGGAACACATGAAGCTATACAATGTAATTTCTTCAACTCAAGTACACACACAATGCACATG